AACTTTATATCTCTAATGGGAGGCTTTCTGCCTATGGATTTGGTGGTTAAAGGTATGTTTTTGACAACATTTAGTAAGCTAAGTTTTCTAAGTACTTGGTGCTAGTGGAATTCTTACATTGCATTTCAGATTTCTAATCCCTATGCTAGAGGTTTTTCCCAAGTACTTTCACATACTTAATTGAAGATTTAAAGCCGAAAAATACACTCATAAATCCTAATGGTGCTTTCTAACTTGGCTGTACCGATATATAAGAGTTTTTTCAGATTAGATACATAGGTAGTGGCTTTTCTATTAGATTCATAACAGTACATAGTACTTGAGACTGGTGGTTGGCAACCTCAGATTTTTCTGTGTAATTGATTTCTTCTCTGCATCTATGATTTTAGGCGCATTTGAGCTTATTACGGACGAAACTAGAGCTGGTTCGTGCTTACAGATCACAAATCGCAGAGGCTTGGAGTATTGGCCCACTCCAATGGAAGAAGCAAAATACTTGTTGCGTTCTTCCTCAAGTTCCAGGAAAAATATGTCATTTAAAGCTCCTTTGAATCTTCAACTTCCTCAGAGTTTTGAGAAAATGTGAGTAAAATATGTCAAACTAGTTTCACTTTTGAACTCTATTGAATAAACATGGTTTGGCATTCAGTGCTGTAAGCTAAATTTAAGTTAACACATTAGACCTGATACATTTTTTTCTAAAATTGACTTTTATTTTTAGCGTAATGTTGATATCTGGATCTGCTTTATAACACTCCATTCAAAGTAACCATCTTCTCCTTAAATTTTGAGCTCTTTAAATGATCCCATATGAATATTTAATGCTCCTCTTGAAAAATGCGTCTTCGGTAACCACCTATAACAAACTCATTTTTTGGTTCCTACCTCCAGTGTGTCCCAGAGCTCTCTGCCCATATCTAGCCCTTCCTATTTCTAGAAGATATTTGTAGTCTAGAAAATGTTTGCAAACAAATTAGCTGATTCAGGAGGAAAATAATTCTCTAGTTGTAAATGTTAGTAAATTCAGAAAATTTAGAGGAATTAAGATGGCATTGCTGCTTGAGTAATGATTGTTTCTATTACATGAAAGCAATATTGTTTACTGTTTTTACAGCTCCTTGGTTTTCATCATTGCCCATAAGTGCACTTTTAAAGTATTCCTTCCTCAAATTATCTGATAATTACTATTATAATAGTGAAGAAAAATGCTTATTGTTTCTTGTTTGTTATTTTTGGGCCAATGTTTCTTCTTGTTATTGAGCATTGTCCTTTTGTTCTTTATCTCCAGAGTTGTGCATACCCTGAGCCATCATTTCCGTAATGCAACGCAGATAGTTCGTGTGCCATTGAGACTACCCATTGAACCAAACCATGTTCTTGTGAAAATAATTTATGCCGGTGTAAATGCTAGTGATGTAAGTTCACTACTTTTAATGGATTAATTTGAAATTTGAATTTGCCTTCGTTTTTTTTTTTTTTTCTTAATAAATTTTCCTGAGTGTTGTTTGTATATATCTTGGTGCTTTCCCATTTGTTTTGGCATGCCTAAGAATCTTGTGTAGGAAATGATGCTAATAGAAGTAGTAGGGCACCAATCATGAAACATGAAGGGGACAAGTTTGATGATTTGTGTATGTGTCATTGAATGGGGGAAGTGAAGATAGACTGAGGGGTGTTTGGTATAGCAATTAGTGGTTTCATCTATTCAAATGGTTGTCAATTATTGTTATTAATAATCTAAACACTCTTATTCATTGGATTAAGCAAAACCACTAAGCCCTAATTTTAAACCACTATACCAAACACCCCAAGTTGAAGTGGGAAATATATGATTTTCTAATGCATGTAAAGAGTACAGCCCTATTCATGGGCAGAATTAACAGATTTATCGAGTTTAAGGTTTAAAACTATTATCTTTTATGATATTTTTTATGTTTATTGAGTCAGTACATTTGTTACACCAAATGTCTTCTGTGAGACGGAAGACCTGATTATTATATCTTTTGTTTATTGAGACAGAGAGGTGTTCCTTGTACCTTTTACATAACAGTTATTGAAGAAACGAGAAAGGGGAATACTGATTAATGGATTACCTATATATCCTCAATTTATTTTAAAACTAAAAATAATCATGTAAAAGAAACTAGGCTCTAACCATAGGATTCTAGCATTCTTCTACATATTTATTACATCATTCCCAAAATGTTAGTGCCATTTCTGAATTGCAATTTCAATTGAAGATTTATTGTTTTTTCAAATTTTTTTCACTTTACTGTTGTTGTTTTTGTATTTAATTTGAGCCTCCTCACCCTTGGTTAGGTTAGATGTCTTGATGTGATAACAAAGCCCTTGTTTATTAGTTTTAGTTTTTAGTTTTTAGTTCTATTTGGTCTGTGTGTCAAGGGAAGTGTTGACTGCCTTTTTATTGGCCATGGGTAGTGTTAACTGCTGGTTTTACCTGAAATTGCCCAAACTTATAGGTGTGCAAAGATATAATGTATGTGCATGTGTTATTAAAACACAGGTGAACTTCAGCTCAGGTCGTTATTTCGGTGGCAACAATGGAGACCTCAGTTCCCTTCTTCCATTTGATGCTGGATTTGAGGTATTGTGGAAATATTATCTGGTTTTATGTGTAACATTCAGTTGATTTTAACATCAATTTCAATGTTACAGGCGGTTGGAATAATTGCAGCAGTTGGAGATTCTGTAAGGGGTTTGAAAGTTGGTACTCCTGCTGCAGTCATGACTTATGGAAGTTATGCTGAATTTATAATGGTATAAAAGTCCAAAAAGAAATGTTTGTGGGCTTAGCAAGATCACATTTCGTTACCCACATTATTGTTTATTTTCAATACCTTTTAATATCTTTGGACTTAAAATCATTAAACTTTATCAATTATGGATATTCTACCAAACATAGGTTCCATCAAAACATATCCTTCCTGTTGGGAGACCAGACCCAGAAGTGGTTGCAATGCTTACTTCAGGGTTAACAGCATCAATCGCTTTGGAAAAGGTACTGTTGCATTTTTGTAGCTGTATGCTTTCTCACTCTTTCTAGCCGTTCTCAAACATCTATATCTTATATCATTATCATCTTACTCTCCACATTATAACCATCCATTCAAACAACTAGTTTCACTTTCTAACCATATTTTTATCTCTCCCTTTGGACCATAGGTTGGACAAATGGAATCTGGAAAAGTAGTACTTGTTACTGCTGCTGCAGGAGGTACTGGGCGGTTTGCAGTCCAGGTACAAATTAAGATGTGGAGATGGTTTTTTTATTACATTTATTTTCTATATCTACTCTATGGAGGTCATGTTGACCTAGGGCACATGGTGACTATTTGTCTGTATTGTTTGTGCAACAAATTTTCACTAGTTATTCTCTCTCTCTCTCTCTCTCTTTTTCCCGCACTTTTCTTTCTTCTTTTTCTAAGGTTCAATCCTCTAGAATGTAATCCTCCTTTCCCCAATTTCTATTGTTCTGTTGTTTTTCCCTTGAAGAATATTTATATTCATTTCTTCTGATTTTGTTGCTAATCATATATTAGTTTTCTGCCTGCTATACATGGTCTTTTATTTCAATTCATTGGACATTCTAATTCATTATTTCATGCTTTAATAAAACAAAAGATTTCTATTGTTCACTTAAATATATCTTCTTTTTATGTACTATTTAGCTGTAAACAATATTATTAATTAGGACATGTATGCAGCTTGCAAAATTAGCCGGGAACAAAGTTGTTGCAACTTGTGGTGGTAAAGCAAAGGCTATGCTTTTAAAGGAGCTTGGAGTTGATCGAGTTATAGACTACAAAGTTGAAGATGTCAAAAATGTATGCTTCTTCACTTCCAACGTGAAACCTGTTTTCAGATCTTTTACCCTAGTAAAAGCTATGAATACCAAAATGGGTTCAATTTGAGTATGGACTATATGATTCTCTGGTATCTATTTTTTTTCATATGATAATTTTAAATACTTAAAATTAAATAAGATTAATCCATGATTTGCTTAAGTGGTTTTCCGATTTGCTTAAGTGGTTTTCCAATTAATACATTCCTTGACTCTCTTCGATGTTCAACAATCTGCAATTCATCATAGTTGCCACTGGAAATAATGGCCCATGATTTTCAATTTGTTTAGTGCCACGTTCCAACTGAATGATTTAAACATTTTTTTTTTTTTTTTTTTTGAGGAACAACTGAATGATTTAAACATTTGTTTGGTTTCATGCTATGGATATCTATAATTTTATAGTTCTGTAATCTGCAGGTTCTTAAGAAGGAGTTCCCAAAAGGAGTTGACATCATCTATGAATCTGTTGGTGGAGACATGTTTGATTTGTGTTTGAATGCTTTGGCTATCCATGGACGACTCATTGTTATTGGAATGATTTCTCAGGTAATCTTGTCTAATGAATTTCTTGCATGATATTGTTTGATTAGCTCACTTTGTTGTTTCTTTTGTTGTATTTGATATGTATAATATTCAATTCTCAACTTTCTTTGCATCTTTTATATTACATTTTTCGTTTCCTTTTTTATTTATTTTTTTCTCTTTTATGTCTGTCAATTGCTCAGGCTGTGAGTGACATCAAAGAAAATTGGTCACCTAATAACAATAATACGAAGTTAGTTAAAAAATTCTATAGGAACCATTCACAATCTTGTCCTAGTAACTAAAAGGTTGTAAACATTTATTCCTGACATTGAAATAGATGCCACTGTTTATTATTCTCATAAATATTTTTGAAATTGATACTCTTTCAAACAGTTAAGTAGTTTTTGGGCTGCATAATTGTTTTGTTGGGAGTGAGGGCTGCAGGAGTTATTTATGAATTCCATGAATCTGTACCTTGTGTTTTCAGAGTTAATGGTATATAGGATCATTTACTTCTCACTTGTAAGATAACATAATAATTATAATAATAAAAATTTGTTGATTTAGCTGGAAATTTAGCAACAATGCCTAGTGCTGCTGTTTTCTTGGAGGTTGGATTGAAGATTGAGTGCATAACTGAAATTTAGACCAAGATGGTTTATAAAAGTCAACAGTATGGACCTGTGTTTGTGCTTTATATTGTAACCAGTTTCCTTGTAAAGCAATCTCAATAAATACAGATAATCAAGATATTGTTCTTGAAGTTCTCTTGGCATGTGGCGTTAATTTGGATGACTTGTGGTTTTTAAAGAGAGAATGACATTTGCTGTTTTTTCTTCAAATTTTGTTTTCAACATCATGATTGTTCTCCCATAAAACAAAAACCTACATGATTGTTTTGTTTTAATCTGTAGGACTTCGTAGCTTTTCATTTTTCTATTTTTAATACTTTCACTTTTTCTATCAGTATCAAGGACAGCATGGCTGGAAGCCATCAAATTATACCGGATTATGTGAGAAGCTTTTCGCCAAAAGCCAAACTGTGGTATGTAGATACTGTTCTATGTTTTCAACAATATGATAATCTTGTACTGTAGTATGATTATGAAGTTCTCTTTACATCTTCTTCAGTGGTACTTATCTAATGTACTAACATGCCAGTGCATATTTTTGCTAGGAACCGGGGACAAAAAGAGATTAATCTAGTTTGTCTAGGGTTTGTCCTTATCCAATTAAAAGACAACTAAAATAACTAAATATATCAACAAACAACTTCATGGAAAACTGCTTAATAGTGAACATTGCTGCCACATGCAGAGGTTATATTAAGAAATATTATGACTTGATCTGGAATTCATAATATTATCCGCCTGAAATTATAACTTTGAATTGCATTGTTCTATATCTATTTGTTTTACTCCATCTAGTCTTCCTTTCTGTCTTTTACCATATTTGGATTGAATAACTTATGTTATCTTCTCAGGTTGGTGACATCATTAGTTTCTTATACCATTTGAAAGCACTCACAATCCTCAATTAAACCACGACTTGGTATTGTCATGTCCCCCATGTCTGAAGAATATCCTTGTGCCTTAAATGTTCAACTCTAATTTTTTATTAGAACTTGGTAAAAGGAGAATGGCTAGCGGAAGAAGAAAAAGAACTTTAATCCTTACTGCTTATTTACTCAAGTCATTAGAACACAATACTTATATTGTCATCCCAAGAAATCTGGTAGGAGTTGGCCAAAAAAATATATGATCATTTTCTCCGCAGTTTGTTCCTACGTTTTAATCAGCATCAAAACAACAAATGTGTAGGTTTAGTTAACCATTCCTCTTTTGTCAGGGCGGTTTTTTCCTGATACAATACAGTCACTTATGGAAAGAACATCTGGACAGACTATTTCATCTCTACTCTTTGGGAAAGCTCAAGGTAAATCTCCTCTACTTACTATAATTCTGTCATGTGTTTTATTGTGAGCCAGGATTTATAGTTATATGAGGTTTGTATGTCTAGACAAGGTTGAGGTTGAGTTAACAGTAAGTTTATGTACCTGTTGCTGTTTAATTTACATAGAACTGTATATTATTGACTTTTCTGAACTGTAAAAGTTTTTCACTAGTTCAATAAACACATTTAGTTTCTGTTTTGGAGGCCAAAAATAAATAAATAAATAAATAAAACACATTTAGATTCTGCTTAACCTAATGAGATGCCTGATTGGAATTTCATCCATTTCTAGATAATTCTTGCTTTTTAAGGCTGGTCTGTATCAAGAATTTTCAATTCCAAAGCACATATATTTGCCCGGGTTCAAACTAAAACCCACCTGCATTTCTGATGTGCATTGATTTATATTCTGTTTACAAATTGACAAATTGATCTACATTTGTTTTTGGTAATTTGATGCCTTCATTAACACATCTCCCAAGATGGACTTTTGATGAACCTGCCATGTAGGGTGGAAGGTCACCCAATGGGTGTTCCAACTACCCAGCCAAGGTTCAAATCCTCTTTGCCCCAAATCCAAAAATTATATGTGCTGGAAAACAGCTAAAAAAATTGAAAAAAAAGAAGAAGAAGATGCACTTTAGACATTAAATTTTACATGCTGCATATTTGTTTCTTTTGAGGTATCTCAGAACAAATTTGAAACACGGCCTTAAAACTTGATTAGGCTCCACTTTCCCTAGAGAAGCCTGCTACACATTTGCAGTTATTGGAGCAGCTCACATACTGTGGTTAAATTCTGACAGGTCAAAATAGACCCAAAAAGATTCTTGGGCCTCAATGCCATTGCAGATGCTGTTGAGTACCTCCATTCGGGTAAAAGTGCTGGCAAGGTATGT